ATACGTTGGGTGAACCCGCCAGCTATGATTCGGTACATGATGTGCTGTGATGTTCGAAGCTGTGTGGTGTGTGTGTGTGTGTGTGTGATTGTGAATGTGTGTCGTGTGTGATGTTTCGATGTGCGCGCGCGCGTGTTTGACGTGCGCATGTTGTACATGTGGCATGCATGCCTTCGTACATGCCTTGGCGTCGTATGCGTGTCTATACATTCGTGCGATAGGTGTATGTTTGGTGTGGCTGTGGTGTGTTTTGTGTTGTGTGTGTGTGTGTGTGCCTGTGTGTGGTGTGCTGTGTGTGTGTGTGTGTGTGTCGTGTGGTGATGGCGGACACTGAGTGTGCTGTGCCCGAGAACTGTGTGTGTGTGTGTGTGTGTGTGTGTGTGTGTGGTATGTGTGTACGTGTTTGTATGTATATGTATATACTACATAGACAATAGGTTGCGCATTGTTACCAAGAAAACTGCGTGGGTGTTGCTGGCATTAGTACAATTAAATTACTTCAGTACACATTGCCAAGCGAACACCTTGATTTTCATTTACACTGCACGTTAATACTGTTGTTAAACGTTAAACGTTATGTTCTACTATAAACCGTAACGCGCATGGTTTTAGACCGACCTAAGAACAGTTAAACTGCAGTGAATATTATCGCGCCTTGATTTACCCAGACACCAAGTTACAAAACAGCGAGGGTCAAAACATTGGTGCTACGTGGTGGCGTGAAGAATACGATGCGCTAATGCCATTGCTGGTGACCGCCTGCGGCTGAAACCCCGCATGCGGCTCACATGCAATTATTAGGTTTTTGAAAATCCGCACTTATCTAGCAAGAACGGCGATCACCCGCTTTGTAAATAAACATAAGAATATTGATGAATATTGGGAATATCGATAGGCATGGATCGCAATAGTTGATGAAAAACCCGTTTCGTCGAAAACCGCAGGCTTCCATTATCGCTGAATATTCGTGGAAGTTTTGATATTGGCGATGGTTAATTCGCTTCAATTGCAATTCATTCGCCGATTGAAATTAATTTCACTCATTCATTTAACACAGTAAAAAAGAAGCACAAAAATAATACAGATTAAGTATGACGGAGCTATAGTCAGAGCTGAGCTGATCGGTATACGGGGAAGGGGGTATTTTCAGCAATCAGGCGTGTGGATATTGCATCGGACGAGAGTCTTTATCATGTAAACCCTGCTGTCAAGATGTCATGCGCCGCCAATTCGTTAACGACAGCGCCCAGTGCGCTGGCTAGCCAATCGAAAATTAATTACATTTCGACGCAAATAGATGATTCGGCGCGGTATTTCCTGCTGCCTTCACGTGTCCGCTCGACTCTGCGTGCTGTATATATATGTACGTCATGGTGATACTGCGCCGCGGGTCCTCTCTCTATGCTGCCACTACCGTGCGCCCATGCAGCTGCCACCGCGGCATGTTAAAAACCTTTGTTTCCAAATATGGCTAACCATTAAGTTGCGTATGCGGCGAATTGAACAGCCTCGACGGACCGATATGTCGTCTGCTGGCCGTACGGAGCGCGTACGGACTCCCCCGGGGGGGCGTGCGTAGCGGACACGGCAGGAACATGGTCGCGACAACCCGACGCAGAAGTATAGCGCTGATGCACACCGCACCGCGGCGGCGGCGACGCAAATAAAATCAGGGAGCTCACTGCGACGCGAGGCGCCCCGAGCGAGGCGCAAGCCGCATGTTAATAATTACTTGCTCTTTAATACGTGATTGCAATCCATTTGCTCCCCAGATGGGCCGACAAGACGTTCTTAGCGCGAGCGAGCCGGCCCCGAAACGCAATCACCGGATGAGTCGTGATCTAATGAAGCAAAAATTCGCGGCGCGCTGCAACATGTCGGGCGATGCGCGCGCAAAATTACGCGAGAATTAATTGCCTTAATTTACACAGTGGAGTTTGTGATGGTCCATTAGCAATTGGCGCAATCAAATTAACGGGGCTGCGAGGCGAGCAGCGGTTGCCCGCCGCTCAATTAAACACACGCCGCCTGGGGAGCAGCGAGGCAGATGGTGGCGAGAGCGCACGCACGCAGCAGCAGCGGGCACGGAGAGAGGATGAGGACGCTGCGCATCGCCTGGTAACGTATGGCTTTAACCGGAGCTAGTGTCTAGTATTCGATGACCTATCCGTGCTTCATTGCTATCAGAGAGAGAGAGAGAGGGAGGACACACACACACACACACAGAGAGAAACAGAGATAGCGACACAGAGAGAAAGAAACCGCGATACCGATTCGAGAAGATTCACTGCATTATGCGAGCGATAAAGAGGAGAGCATGCTCACCGCGTCCGCAAGCCTCATCGACTGCTAGACACTGCTAGCTCTGCATGGGTTCAGCTACACAGTTATGGTTAACTGCAACCGTTATGCCTCATTTACGAGGATCGTAATGACATAATGTGTGTACCGCGGGCGGCGTACCTCAAGTGGTATTAACATTACGGTAATTAAGAGCGTTTATGATCTGCGGTATAGTACCTGCTCTCCCAGACAGTTTTATCCAACAGGCACGCTCAAATACAATAATCTAGTCGCCACTTACCTATCGCATGCGAACCACTAGAGACAAGCAACCCTGTAACAGCTCGCGGGGAAACTAATGGGAAGTCTGGTGCTCACATTTACATGCATCCGTAGAGTATAGAATGATTATTTATTGCTATATTTCTCATGCACACGTATCATCACTATGACAATGTGCCCCACCCCATAAAGTACGAGCGCTTACCGAATCGCGGGCATGCACGCAGGCAAAGCAGCAAGCACTTAGTAACGTGCTTATGGGCTGTAATTCGGCTACCGTGCGTGCCATGATCTCGTAATCGTATCTCAATAATTAATCACACCAAATTTCACGTACATTCGAGACTTTCTGCATTGATTTTCGCGGCAGCTATGAGAGAATTCGTTATAAGAAAAAAGTATGAAAAAGGGAGAAGAGAAACTAGTGGTATTACGAGTAATAACCGTGTAAGAATTAGAAAAAGGAATATCGTACTACGGTAAACGACCACAAAAAACAGCGAGAGAAAAGGAAGAGAAAAAAATAACACGGATGGTATACGATAAAAGTGAACAAGAATAATAGGAATTGCATGAACTAATATAAGAGAGAAGATGTGAAGAATGAAAGAATAAAAGAACGGAAAGGAATGAAAATGTGTATTAGTACAATAAAGCGTGCGAAAATCACACGACATTTACGTGACAACACACGAATATCATGTGCGAGCAAGCTTAAATCTTGATAATATATTATTCGCAAACAAAAATTCACAAGCATTATATTCTATACGTTATCAATCAGATGATGTTCTACATAGTGTAATCTATAAAAATACATGTATAGCAAGTCAGCGTGTATATAATTTATAGAAATGCTGAACGCAATTCGTTGACCATCAATGACAGGTAACGAAATATTATCTTGCTGCATGCTGATTCATTTTTATGTCTACTCGTAAATGCGAATTAGCCTAATTTGACACAAAGTGTAACCGTTACTACATTAAACATTTTCAGATTTACGTTCATGCATTGTTAATGCACTTGCAAAGCATATTGTCCAAGAGGTAACGATAAGATTAAATTTAATAGCGTAAGAGTAAGTATAATAGCAGCTTGCCGGACGAGTCGATCAATACGACCGCTGATGGCTTTGGATAATATAACACTAAGACTACTGAACAGTATAGACAACCGGTATGTCCGTGTGAAGCCACCTTAATGTTGCCTAACTCTGATAATCTCGTTCGTAATCGGAGAGGATACGCGAGCATTGAGCAATGGATGAGCTAACACGTTGGGACGGCTATTCGTAGGAAAAATTAGAAGCGACATTTGCGCTGAAAATCACACGCTAGCTAAAAAGCATTAGCGCGGAGAAAGACTGTATACGCTAGCACCGTATGCTGTTTATAAATACTACAACGTTTGCGCCATCCTAACGTATTTTTTCGCCGAAACAATAAAATGGCGATGTTGCGAAATTACCAAATTGTTTGAAAGAAGAAAAAAATACGCACATCGTATCTAATAAAGAAAAAAAAAAAAGCGCACGTTAACCGTAATGTATGGCGAGAGCGCACTGCATGACGGGTCATATAGATACAGGAGAGCGAGCAAATGTGAACTGGGCGCCATTTATAACTCGTGCGTTACGCCCAGGCCGATAATGATTGTAGATTTTGGAGCGATCGAACGTGATCAGCGCAGAGAAACGTTGGCGGTGTGGGATAACTCAGCCCCCCGAGCGCACATCAATTCCCAGCGCTGCCCCAGGCGTAGCTAATCAACGATGTGGCTTTGTGCCCAAATAGGTCACACAAATAGCCGGCACACGAAGCAGCACTATTTGCCAGAGGTGTGGGCAAAGCACGGGCAAAGCACGGGCAAGTGGACGCACACGCACATGCATACATACGCGCGCACGCACACACACACACACACACACACACACACACACACACACACACACACACACACACACACACAATGCGTACGTGAATGGAAACATTTTTTTACTCTAGAATCAAACTTGTATCACTGCACTCGGTTATTTCAAATAATATTTATATTTACGCCAAGATTTAGCCAGCGAGTATTACAAGCAAAAATAGCAAAAATAACGAGCGAAATACAAACCGAATGTCACCGAAATCGACAAATATAGATGGAGTGGTGGTGAGAGATTTATCACGCCATAACTTTGATGAAAATATTTGAATTCACTTGACATCTATTTTGATGCGTATTTAAAATTTTAATCTTAAGTGTGATTACTCATCACGCTCTTAAAACTGCGTTTTCGCGCCGACTGCTTGGTTAACGACGGCCGCACATGTCACATATATACGCCGCGCGCGCGAAATAAAATGTCATTATCGGGGAATAAACGTGAATCATTCGCGCGCTTTATGTTTTCATATATATTAATTACAAGTTTGTTCGGTTGCTAGGCGACAGACGGCCGAGGAGCGCGAGGCCGAGAGGCAAGCCGCTAGTCGTCTGCTTATGTCTCTGCATCACCAGGAGGTGGGCAGCGGGGTCGCCTTTCCCCGACAGGAGGCGCACTGCATCGCCAACGCATCCCTAAACGCGTTGCAGAGTCTACAGCCGTGGGCTGAGACAAACGCGCTACAGACACAGCGCGCCACGCTGGAAGCAACTTTCTAAGTAGTTTATGTGACGGACGCACCAGACTGTGGGAGTGGCAACCCTATCTCTAATATGGCTTCCGCTTGCATGCTGCTGCAGGGGACGATTACATTGTTGTTTAATTAAACAACAGCAGGAGGAGGGTCATGCGGCATCATTTCTTGATACGCGCCCTCGGCAACGAACAAACGCATGCGTTTTTATATAATTGTAATGCGTCATGATATAAATAGTTTTAATTAATGTGTCGTGCTATAGTACCACGGTAATAATTTCAGTCGTTACGATCTTTTTAATATGTATATATATAATATATATATAATATATAAGAGGAGGGAGAGATAGAGAAAGAGAGAGAGAGAGAGAGAGAGAGAGAGAGAAAGGAAATATATAGAGAGAGAGAAAGGAAATAGAGAGAGAGAGAGAGAGGGTGCGGGAGGGAGAAGGGGCGTAGATACATATAGATGTAGAGGAGGGAGAGAAAAAGAGAGAGAGAGAGAGAAAAAAAGAAAGAAAGAGAGAGGGGTAAGGGGAAGGGGGAAAGGGCGTAAATACATATAGATGTAGAGGAGAGAGAGAAAGAGAGAGAGAGAGAGAGAGAGAGAAAAAAGAAAGAGAGAGAGGGGGTGCGGAAGGGGGAAGGGGCGTAGATAGATAGATGTAGAGAGTGGAAGAATAAAAGGAGGTTTAATAAATAGAGAGAAAGGGGAGAGTGGAAGAAGGAGTTAGAGCGGCAGGGAGGGGAGGGTGTGAGTAGTGAGTGAGGTAGGTAGGAAGAGGGCGAATTATGAGAGAGTTGGTGAGGGGTAAGGGTGAGAGAAAGAATCGAGCAAGAGAAAAGATACAGGTGGATGGTTAGATATGAGAGAGAAAGAGAGAGAGAGAAAGAGAGAGAGAGAGAGAGAGAAAGGGGGAGGGGGAGATAGAGAACGCGAGAGCGCAAAAAGTAGTTTATTGATAAAACTCTACTTCTAAAGATGTTTAATTATTGCTACGCGCGGAAATGAAACTTAAAATGAAAACTGCTCCGCTAATCAGCAAGTAATTTCGATCGAACATTCGCACGGTTTATTACTCAACCGTTTACTTCCTATACGGACGCTGCGAGAGATATCGGCTACGTAACAGGCTAGATGGCGCCAGCGTCTTCAGTAGCAAGCGTGCATTTATATGCCACTACTATCGTCGACGTTTATGCGGGAATCGACACAATTCACAGAGCACTGCAAAGTCACATTAAAACGTCAAACAGTGGAAGCGAGACGGTTTGCACGTAGTCGCGCGTGCTCCCCCTTATATTTTTGTATTCCCCCACCGCGCTATACACGTAGCTAGAAAGAGCTGTCCATGCGTTCACCCGCACCGTGTGTGTGTGAGTGACCTGATTTCATGTCATATTAAATGTTAATGCGTCGCAAAAATGCCGTGCATTCCCGCTCATACACGCTCTCTCGCTCACTCTCCTTCTCAAACAAATACTAGTCGATGGCTTCGCAGCCAGGATTCGCTGGCACGCACCCGCGGGAGGCGACTGTCGTGTGCGATTGATCGGCTTCCCTGTGTGTAACAACTAGGCGGCAGCGCTCTCGCACGCGGGGCTGAAACCCGCGCGCGCGTCGTCGCAGACGAATTTTTCCCATAAACGCATTACGTAATCGACGCGTATTGCTTCGCGCTTCGTAAATTCTTCATGAGCAGCAGCACGCGAAATACGCGAGCGTTACAGATGACAGCCGCCGCTTGGCGTCGCTCGCGCGTGCGCCGCCTCGTCTCGCGTCGTCGCTATATCTCTATGTTGTTTGTTGCGCGCCCCGCTCTGCGCTGCCGCCCCGAACCAAGCGCGGTTTACCACGAGAACACAGAGCTTGCTGACGTTGGTTGGGCGTGCGCGTAACTCAGCATTATCCGACGACATGCCGGCAGTTAGAGTAGCAGCGTCGTCCGCCGCGTACACGCGCGCTCTCTCTCGATGACGCGAAACAAATCTTGATATCGCGCGTAAGAGCTGCAAATGTGCAATGTTCGCCCGATCGTTCCATTAAACACTCTCTCGCCGCGTGCGTGCAGCAGCTATTCGCAGTGAGAGAGCTGCTCCGCATGCGAGAACGACTAATGAACGCAATCGAGACATACGCGCTCCGCTGGAGCGGGGATGACCGATGCTCGAACACGGGCTTCACGCCCACGGTCGCCATGTATACACGCTTGCGACGGACGAACCATTTTGCGCACCGACGGAGGAAGCAGCAGCAGCAGCGGTGGCGGCAGCGGTGACGGCGGCATCACCGTGTGCTGCTGCTGCTATCAGAGCGCCGAATCAGCGCCGCAGTTTAGTTTAATTGAATCAATTCGCGTGTAATAGACCGACACGCGATAACTAGCTGTCGGCTCGCTCGCTGCGAGCCTTCGTGCGCGCTACACAGCGAGCGTCTGCGTCCCGGCAGTAGTCGACGACGTCTCGCGGGCGTTGCGGGATTGTCGAGCCGCGTCGTTAATTGCGGCCGTAATGAGAAGCCGGCATCGATCGCGTGCGCCGAAGCGCTTTGTTCAGCCCTCCCCCACCACCCGCGCGCGCACACACACACACACACACACACACACACCAACCCTATCAAAAAAGATCAAGCCAAAATCACAGCCACCGTTGCTCATCACCACACGCCACCGTCACCGCTAGCACCATACTACAGTTATTATCATCATCATGATCATCATGATGATCATCATCACCAGTATCATCATTATAATCATCATCATCATCAGCAACAGCAGCAGCAGCAGCACGCAGCAGCAGCAATTATAAACAAACACAACAACGAAAACAAAACAAAATCAACCAAATGCGTGACATGGGAAGCAGGGATGATGGGAAGCAGAAGACGACAGGAACATGCTCGGGACATATATATATAATAGACAAAGAATAATTTTGGGAGACAAAACGATCATGCTTAGCGCTCGCGGCAGGTTGCAGGCGCTGTTGTGTGGCTGTCAACCGACCGGCGCTATTTCATCGCTTGCTTTAGTCGCAAAATGTCAAGTTCCCTCATTAAAAGCGCGGCTTTATTTTCGCGCGACTATTATTCCGGTCGGCAATTACCGGCGCGCGTAAGTTCTGCCAGAAACGGTCATCGACGTTCAATCTAATGCCGATTTGGGCCGCCGACGATCTGCCCTTACGATTCATGTCTGACTAGCCGTAACGTGTATTATATCCAGTAAGTACGAATTTTAGGACAGTTCTGCGCGACGAGACGCGCAGACCGAAGCCAATTCGTGGGTCGGCCGACGTCGTCGGCGTGCGCCGTCCCCCGTCGCGACGGCCGCTCGCTCCTGCGCGTGTAGAGACCGGAAGTCAGAACTGAGATATCGCGTCTTTGGTGCCTTGGCCCTTTCTCTCTCTTCTCTCTCTCTCATCTCTCTCTCTCTCTCTCTCTCTTCTCTCTTCTCTCTCTTCCTCTCTGCTCTCTTCTTCTCTCTCTCTCCTCTTCTCTCTCTCTCTCTCTCTGCTCTGTCTCTCTCTCTCTCTCTTTCTCTCTCTCTCTCTCGTTCTCTCTCGCTCTTTCTCTCTCTCTCTCGCTCTTTCTCTCTCGCCTCTCGTACACACACGCCTTTCTTCTCTGTCGATCTCTTTTCTCTTCTTGGACCTTTTTCTATTCCGTCTTCCCTGCCGCTCCCTCTGTCGTCGTTCGGAAGTATCGCTGGGGCGGCACTTCGATTACCCAACGGTGTAGCACGAGATGAACGACGAGAGCGAGACGCGATAGAGAGAGAGAGAGAGAGATGAGATGAGAGAGAGAGAGAGGAGAGAGTGAGAGAACGAGAGCGAAAAACAACGAAACATTTTGGGAAGAGCTGCATTGAACGAGCTATCGTGGAGTGTGAACGATAACGCCTCGACGACGAGGGCGATCGGTTTGCATGTTTATGGGAAAACAGCAGACAGCGCTGCCGACGCGATATTGAATTCTCGATTCCGTCGCACGCGCAGCCAATCTTCGCTATCACCGGTCGGACTGAGCCGAGTGCGTGCATTTACGAGCCGCATTGATGAGACACGTAACAGTCAAAGGCTTGATGCGTGTATGCTTTCTGTCTTAATGAGTATATATATATATCAGAGTATATAATAGAGATCTCTATTATGTTACTCTGATTATATATATATATATTATATATTATATATATATACTATTATTAATACCGATGCGAGTGTGCGTGTCTGCGCGTAGTGGTTGCCTAAATGAGGTATGTGTGCCATGTGTCCATTGCGTGCTCGCCACGCACGCCACGTATATCCGTAGGCTTATGCTTGATTTTTGTATGTCTGGTGTGTGTGTGTTTGGTGTGTGGTGGTGCTGTCCGACGCGTGAACTGTTGTGTTGTCGTGTGTGCGTCGTCGTTGTGTGGTCTGGCTGTGCGTGCGTGGTGTGTGCTGCATTGTGTTTGTGGGCGGCCCTACTGCGTGACCCGTGCGTGCCTCAAGTTAGGCTGCGTGCGTGCGTGCGTGCGTGCGTGTGCAAGGCACGACGTGCATGCTAGTATACTAAGTGTCGCTGAGTACCACCACACTGCCGGTCGGCTCGCATGTGTCGCAATAGGCATGCGCCAGAAAACGGGTGCTCGTGCCACGCCTGAAATCACCTCGCTCTAGTCGCATTTAAGCGCGCGCTATTTATGTGGAAACTGGCGAATCACGACACTGACACGAAGCTATTAGTATAGGCGGCCTCGTCCGGTCATCACTGTCTCTGCCAGGCAACCTCGTACAGGACACTGCTCGTACTGGAACACGGCGCCGCTACATGGAAACACGGCACCGTACGTGGAAACACGGCACCCGTACGTGGAACAACCGCCAGCCGCACAGAACAACCGAACTGTTACATGCGAACACGAGCAACATAGTACATGACAACACGGCAACCGACATGGACACGGCAACAGTACCATGAAACACGGAACGTACATGGAACACCGCAGCCGTACAGGACACGCACGTACATGAAAACGGCAACGTACATAACACGGCCGGTACATGGACACGGCAGACGTACATGGGAACACGGCAACCGTAGGACAGGAAACTACAGGGAACACGCACCGTACATGGAACACCCCAGTCGTACATGGAACACGGCAGCGTACATGCACACTGCATCCCGACTGGAACACGGCAACGTAAATAGACACACGCAACGGTACATGAACCAGCATCGTACATTAGAACACGGCAGAACCGTACATGGAACAACCGCCAGCCGTACATGGAACACGGCAACCGTAC